AAGGAGTTGTTAATTTTAAGGTTTTAGGAAGTTAATGTTGCTAAGGACTTCCAAAGGCAGTCTGCTTAATTCAGCAGATGTTTCCATGAGTACAGTTTAGTACCAGATTTAAAAGAGGGGAGAACTACAGCTAGGAAGAGGATTTTGGTAAAGTGCAAATATCCTTTTAATTTGTTGTTATGCATACCACCACAAATAATAATCTGACTAACTAGGTTATTTAAGCAGATAGTTTCACATTAAGTTTTGGCTTAATATGCAGTATTTCACTGCATCATGTTGCAGGATTACACGCACACACACACACACACACACACACACACACACACACACACACGCGAGCCAATGTAATCAGAGCAGCACAGTTAGAAATAAGCAGGGAAATTCAGGATAGACTGGGCATTAAAGGGTTAGCGTGATACTGTCACAAGACAGGGACCTGCTGTGGACCAGCGCTGGGATCTACTGATGGAAATAACCTTTTTGAGCTCGGCAGTAAGGGGGATGCTAAAAACATCTCTGCATAAGCATGCCCAGGCCTCTCATCTGTTGGCAACGAGAACCAGCAGCCTGCGTGTGTGACTGCGGCAAATGAGGCCTCAGCTCCAGAACAAGCAGGGGATGTCTGTGCCTTAGCAAGGGTGTGAGCGAGCAACTTCCTGAAGATTCATGGGACTACAGCATGCAGGTCTGCTGGCAGCGTGGCAATAGTTTCCCTGACCTTGTTCTTCCTAAGGAGCCTGCTGTTTGTAAAGATGTTGCTGAGGAGCACTTGAGCTACACAAGTGTGGGAAGCAGGACTGTGACTATGAGCAAAAGGTGTGATGGCTTCTTTCCCAGTCACATCCTGCTATCTCATCAAGAAAAAAGAGGATTCTTCTCCAGTATAAGCACACACAATACTGAAACAGATCCAGTTGTTATTCTGGGCTGCAGGGTGATGATACTCACTTTCTAGTGGCACTCTAACTTTATGTGGACAGCCTGAGAGACTGCGGTGGTGAGGGTACAGCCCAGTCACGTGCCCTGTTCCATCACATCCTGGGATGGGGCATTTGGTTTCTCTCTTTTCAGGCCTGGGTGAATCTGCAGAGAAATCAGATAAAGATTTTGTTTGGGTTTAGCCCCTGTCTGTGCTCAGCTGAGTGATCTTAGCAGTATGATATTCTCTATTTTATATTTCAGATTTAATTCCTGTCCAAAGTTTTAACAGGGATGTATGCAACTGGCATACCACTTCAGGTTTTCACACTGTGTCCTTTAAACAATGATTTCCCTATCCCAGTATGCCATTTATGTGCTAAATTATATAGTTTTAGGATTGCAGTGCCATTTATTCCATTCAGAGCCTCAAACAGGACAGAAGCCACAATCCAGTAAGCCAGAAAACTGGCAGCATGAGCCAACAGCAAGATCTATAAAGGAATAAATAAAAAAAAAGGCAAAACAATCTTTTGCTCTGTTAATGTCAGACTCCAGGAAGCTGGGACAACCAAATAAAAGCTGAGGTGTGAAACAAACAAACAAACAAACAAAAAGCATTTCAACCAGAAGCCATTCCTTAAATATCACAGATCTCTAGGCTGTAGGTTCTTTGTTAGGAAACTGAATACATGCCACTTTACATTTGAGAGGCAAGGCAAGCAGCTCCCTCTGGTACACATGGCAATGCTGCTTTGTGGAGCAGCCCACAAAGACACTGAAAGCATGGAGCAGCCGATACCCTTTCAAAGGCGAGGTCTCAGCCCAGCCCCGCTGCTACCAGTCTGTAACAGCCTCCCAATTCCTGTTTCAAGCACCTAGAATTGTGCAAGAAGCAGTGGTCAGAAAACCTTTATTTGATTTCCAATGCAGGATCAAAAGTCTGGGTGAGAAAGGAATGATTTCTGGTCCAGAAATTCTCTTGTGAGAAATCTGGAGGAAGTGGCCGCATAAATTGCTGAGGATGGTTTTAGCTCCATCTGTGATTGGCTGCCAACAGCATTTGGTGCTGGGGGAGAAAACAGCTGCAGCCAGCACAGGGAGCTGCCTCCTTCAAGCTCATTTTTTTCTGGACTATGAGGTAGGATGAGCTTAGGGACAGAATCATCAGGGACAGATGAGGGTTAAACTTCCTGGCAAGTTTTTAGATAAAAAAAATAAAAAAATAAATAAATAGAGAGGAAAGCAAATAGCATCATCAGGAGACCACATGCTTTTTAGAATCACTGCAAATGGAAAGTGCTGCAATAGTGAACGGAAAATAAAGAGGGACCCAGAAATATGATTTAGTGTTTCCTCCGGTAATTGAATAGGTTTATCATGAATAGATTTTTTTCTGATCTAGCATCCAAGAGTGAAAATTAAGAGCTGATGGATTTTATGGCAGATTTTTTAGAAATAAAACCCAGTTAATTAAATAAAGTGGCAAAATTATGTGCCCGATAGAACATTGACTACAATCACGGTGTTTATACAACCCGAACAAAGCCTGGTATGTTTTTCCATGGGAATTACCTCTGAACTCACCTGGAAACCACAGCTAATTATAATATGAGGTAAATCTGGAAGGGATAGACTCTGCCATTTTTACATCACTGCTCTTTCCTATGTGTGCTGTGAGAAAGTCACATTGACACCAATGTGAGCCTGATAAATACAGCTGCTCTAAGGGTAGGAAAAGATATCTATAATGTTCCTGCATATGCCAAAGTCATCTGAGCAAATAAAGGTTCACATAGTTTAATAAAAAGGTAGATTAATACCATGCATGCACATCTTAAGACATACTAATGAAAACACTGCTCAAAACACAAAAATGAGATGTCTGCATTTCTTCCCCAATACTGCAGGAAATATTTTATAGTTGCAGCTCTTAAAAATGCCTGTCAGACCTCTTTCACACTAAATGCTTTAGATAAGTAAATTACTATAATATTTGCAATGTCCACAGGGACTACTCTAAAGTTACATTAGAAATACTAAAGTAAATCATTTATCAAAAGCAGAAATAGCATCAGTGCTACGGTGACCTCTGGATGTTTGCAAGGCCAAAAGGAAAAGTCAAAGGACAGATGAATGTATTGTTACTTACTACAGAAGGGAGTGTGTGTGCTTATAAAATGATATTTCTTGATGTTCTGTAATTATCCTCAATTGAGGAGTTTCATACAAGGCAGCCCAGTTTATAAATCAAACCCAAATCTTTTAAGTCTCCTCTTCTGGAAGCCTGATTAAGTGATGAAAATTCAGTGATGTTCCTATGGGCTTTTAGGATATCACAAACCTTCAGAAACAATAAAGATTTTGGAATTTACTGGTGTTTCTGCTGGTGGTGAATGAGGGAGAAGAGCATAGATTGTGCTTTCCTGGCTCAGAAGTGCTGGATATGGAAAAATGTAACATTGATTGATGTAATAATGAATTATACTAATATACTAATACTATACTTATACTTGACTATATTATACTATACTTGATACTAATGAAGTAGACTGAACTCAGAGAACACATGGCTTAGGAATTAGGTATTATCTCTGGGAGAGGCAAATTTTTCACCCTAAACTTGTCCTTGAGTACTGTTTTAATGCCTTGCCTCTTGGCTGCTGAAACTTTGGAGGTTTGTATTAGCACCTTACAGAGGAGGAAGCAGAGGAGGAGGAAAAGGAGGAGAAGGAATGTCAGTGCCAGCTACACAGGCCTTTTAGTACCCATTACTGATGATTTCACATAGCAGTTTGGCAAGAAGCCAAGTAGCTAGCGTTTAACCTGGTTAGACGTGAGGCACTAGTGTGAAGGTACATAATTAACAAAATTACCAGCTAAATTCCAGATTCTTTACTGTTGCTATAAAACCCAGCTCAGAATACTCTATTAGTCACGGGACAAATGCTTAAGCCAGCAAGAAGAGCCAAAAATACTTCCTTACGTTTGCTGCTAAATATCTGTCTCCCACCAATGTCAATAACTTTGGTTTGTCTCCTTTCCCCTGCTAGATGCTCCAGAAGAAACCTATCCAGTTCCTTGTAGGTGCTGTGAAACACATGCCCTTGCTCTGCCTGCAGAGCGATTGCTTGCTCCAGCAAACTCAAGTTCCCTTTTGTTTTGTCCAGCTCAACTGACACGTCTGTGGTTTCTGACAGGCACTCATTGTCGTCTTCTTCGCTTTCAGTGAAGATATTCTGAATTCTTTTCTCAAAAGGATCAGAGTGAGGCTCCTGGGGTGCTCTTAGCTCTGTTTCTGAGTTGCAGAGTGATTCACAAGGACCATATTCAACCTCTTCCTGCTTAATTTCTGGGACTTCCAGGATGCTGGGTTGATTACACTCTACAATATATTTTGGAGTTACATGGGGCTTTACACTAGTTTCTTCTGAGAAATTTGAAGAGCTATCCCACTCATTGTCCATATTTTCAGAGTTACTTTCATTTTCCTCAGATGAACAGTATTTTGAGTCAGAGATAGCAGTCTTTTCCTTTCCTTCAGCTGAGCTAATCAGGTAACATTCATCAGTGTCATCACTTTCTGTTTTTAATGATTGAATGCCACTATCATTTAGATTTTCTGACACTGCTTGACTGGGTGCATCTTTTACTATTTTTCCCATGTTCATCAAAGATTTGGCCATGGCATCTTGATAGCTGGTGTAGCTGTCTTTTCTTTGACTGGAATTTTCTTGTCCACCTAAATGAGGGGCTTCAGATGATTTTGTAGTACTGTCCTCTGTATGAGAAAAATAGGTAAGAGAAATATGTAAGAATAACTATTTTTTGTATCTTGTAGAAGTGACGTGAAGATATTGACTTATCAATTGCTGTTTCATTACTCAGAAAGGTACTCTGAAATGATTGAATTCACACCCAGGATCTGTTTGAAATGACTACTTGTAGCATGATGAAAAACCCTTCTAAAATTATATATACTTTATGTTATATTTCCAGCACTATATGAGAAAAAATTATATCCCCATTTCTCACTGATGGTGAAAACATGTATTTTCTTAGAACACATGCACATGCAAATGCACTCATATACATGTATGTAAATATAATGTTCAATACATTGATATTACATATATACATATAAACTATATAACATGCATGCATATATAAATAAGCACACAAACACATTTTAAAATTCCTCTGAACTATTTCACTTTTATTTCATTTAAGAATCCCAAATATTTTCTCAAAATAAACCTGAATTACTTTCCCTGTCACCCCGGATCCCATGAGAGACCTTGATGGAAAAATCTTCAATACTTCACAAAGGGCAAGCTCCTGGTCACCACTGAAATTGCCACACTAAGTGATAGATCAGGTCATGCACAGGCAAACAGAAGTGGTTGTTATGTACAGACTCATAAAGGACTTGTTAAAGACACCACTGAAATGCATCCTGTCTTTATAAACATCTTTCTTCAGAAGAAAAGCGGCAGCCAGCAGGTAATAAAGGCTGCATGTAGGAGAGGCTGTCAGTGTGGAAGACAATATGCCTTTTGTATCTCATTTAATTTTTTATAAACATTTCCTCTGACAAGGACACTCAAAAATACATCTCCATCATCTTCCTTTCTGGTAATTATCTCTCTAAAATCAACACTGGTTTTGCCAGGATCAAGTAAATATTGCCATAGTAACTAAAAGCATTTTTGGATGAAGGGAAGAATTTAGTCACAACACTAGCCCCTTCAATAATGCTGATTATAGGGTACATTCTTTTGTTGGGATCTATTCAACATAAACTGAAAAATTTAACATTTTACTTCCTAGAAAGGAGGATTAATAAACAAGCACAGACTGTTTCATAAGATGTGTCTGTCCTTTCCTGAATCAGAAGAACTCCAGGTTTAAATAATAAATTAAGCATAGCCTAAAATGCAAATGAAGTTTCTCTCAATAACACTGTGAGCTATTAAGAGAAAGTGTAAAGGGTTATGATAATTTTAAAGTATTATGAACTACAGAAAACAAATAAAAAGCATTTTCAGTGAATATGTCCAATTCATTGAACTATTCTCTCAATCCACTTAACTACCCACATGTGTACAATAATGATTTATAGACATTATACCTAATTATGCATATTTGGGCTGTGTTAGAGTGCCTAACAAAAGCTCTAGAAAGCAACAATTACCTCTGTTGCTTAGCTACATAGTTTAAAATATTCCTATTAAGTGCAGATTATTGTGGAGGGGAAAAGGGGGACAAAAATGCACATGTGCACCACAATGCATTTCACTTTACTGCTGCCAAACTGTTAGCATTTTGGGTCATTTCCAGTTTACATAATTGTTTGGTTCAACTGTTTGTTATATGTTAAAAGAAAATATTGATTAATTCTTATTCTTCTTCAGAAAATTGGACTCATGCAGGGAGAGGTGGCCTTGTGAACTGTGCGCATAAAGTTGTATTTAAAGAAGTGTCTGTAAACCTCCATGTAACTTTTTAGCAGCTGGTCTAGTACCACACAAATTGCAGTATTCTGAACAAAGTGTGCCATCTTTTCACATCTCAGCAAGTAAGAATGATGATTTGGCTCTATAACTAACTTTAGTCAAATGGGTTTCCATTATTTGCTCTTCTGCCATTTGGAAAATAACAGAATCCTATCAGTGGGTAATTTCAAAAAGTAACAAGATCTGTCTTAAAAGAAAACTCCTGCCCATCAGAATAAAACAAACAAAAAAATTCAATGGTAAAAGCTTTGTTCAATTATTTTTATGCGTGAAAGATAAAAAATAATATAAGTTCACAATAAAAAAAAATTTGTTCATTAAATAATCAGTAATTTTTAAAGCAATCTTTTAAAATTTGTTGTTGAACCAGTCTTAATAGTTCAGCTGTCCCAGCTTTGCTTTTCACATCGACAGGCTGTAAATTTACTTTTAAAATAATCAAAACTCAGCTTAGTTTACAGTTGCCTCAATCCATGATCAGAATCATGATCAACTAACAGAATCATGAGTTCATAATAAAGTGAGCAATATTACACCAAGAAATCCCAAGTACCTACATGCCCAGACCAAATTTATGCTTTCACTGAAATTTGTTTTGTAGCTGGTAAAATTTATGCAAAAGATGTAGGTTGTATAATCACTGAACAAGCAGGGTGGAATATATCATGTTGGTATCAAATAAATATTTTCAAAATCAAATGGGATTTTTTGTTTTGACTGAAGGGCATGGTTTCCCTATTTTTCAATCAATGGATTTGGCCCAACACTTGCCCTTTTTTTAAAAAGGGAACCTAAAAATGTTAAATAACTTAGGTTTGTGCCAGAGTCTACCTTTAAACCCATCATAGCAATTTTCCTTCATTGAGTTCTTCAAGATGTGCAGAGAACAGAAAAAGGGGAAGAAAAAATATGTTACTGAGTGCAACTCTGGATGGTCAGGAACCAGGCTGAATCAACACAAAAAAATCAGCTAAAATCAAAATATCTAAAAAAAAAAAAAAAAAAAAAAAAAAAAAAAAAAAAAAAAAAAAAAAAAAAAAAAAAAAAAAAAAAAAAAAAAAAAAAAAAAAAAAAAGCAAAACAAGCAATATCAAAACCCCAAGATAAGAACCATACAGGAACTTTTATTCCAAGATTCCCTTCTGGTGTTCAGAGCCAGAAACATTCCCTGCAGCCTGAACAGCCACTGAGAGGTATGGGATTTTTTCCTTGATTAATTTTTCTTAAAAATATCACCCAAAAGACAGAGACATTGTGTATCACCTTGCTCATTAATGTTCTGTTTGAAGATGGAGCTACCTTCTAGGCTTTCACAGAAATGGGCTGCAGACCTTTGGAAAAATCTCCTTCTAGAACATTTACAAGTGACAGACGACTGAAAACTTTGCTGTTTTAGAAATGCCACAAAGACCTCCACTGATTTTGGTAGAATCAGGATTTGACTCTTTAATGTGCAGGACATTATTCTTCTTCTTCTGTGTGTTTTATAGTGATCATATATATAAAATTTGTGGGGTTTGTTTTGTTTTAAGGGATTTCAATTTAGAGTGGATAAATACCCAAATAACTAATCTCAGTTCATCATAAAATAATAGGACAGTCCAGGCTGGAAGGGACCTTAAAAGACCATCTAAGTCCAGTCTTTTGTGGTAAAGGGACCCTAGATGATATAATCTATCACCCTGTCCTTCAAAGACATTTGATAAGAAGAAAATGAGTGAAAAATAAATTATCTTTTAATTCTGATAGCAACCAGCAACTGAGTGATGTTTAAGTTCATTCAGTTTACATATTATCTATGATTACTAATTCCCCAGTGCCAGATCACATTCCTTTTATTTTAACATTTGCTGTGTGCAGGTGACTGCCAATGTCCTCCTGATGTCTTCCACTGATATATTTTCATTTGTCCAATTAACTGTTTTGGCAGGACTTCTTAAATATGTGAAAAACAATTTGGTTTGAGACTTTTTGTTCAACTTGAATATATATAAACATATATTAGAAAGGAAGAGTAATTAAAACATACTATAGCTATATCTCTCTGTCCCCCATCCTTGTCCATATTTTCCAGCATACACATTGTAGAAGCTGCTATAAATTGTTGGATGTGTTTGGCTTACCAGTGTTGGAATAACAGGTATAAAAGTGCTGAGTCTAATAATCATGTTAAACAGAACACACTCAGCAGTCGCACACATGAAATTGCTTTGCTAAATGTTAAAGTCAACAATGTTTTGCTAAGCATTATTTTTCCCTCCTAAGAGCTCTATATATTCCAGTGAAAATCTGCTCTTCAGAAATGTGTAGGATGGTGGTGGGCTTAAGTTTGTTCTTTCACAAAGGTAGTGGAGAAGCAGATGCTGCTCCATATCTGACTTGCTGCAGTAGTTGTCTCTGTGTGACCTGCAAAGCATTTACTAGACCCCAGGACAAGTTATTGAACAAAATAAATGATGGTTAAATATGGACAGAAGCTCGCCTAGAAGCCAAACATGTCTTGCATCCTGTTTCAAAATACTGTTTTTTATCATCTCCTTTCCTGTGGCATTTCAAGTTCAAGTGGAGCTCAAGCAACTACCTGGAGTTGAGCTGCTTTCGAGGACACTGATATCTTCCTGTAACTCTGTCCTGTCTTCATTTTCTTCTTTGCATTCCAAGGTGGGGCTGTAGTGGCGGGGTTTCATTAACAGGGACTTCCTTTTGTTGACGGGAACACCTGATATCTGATCTTCAGCTTTTCTCTTCTTTGCCATGGAGCATTTGTAGGCACTGCAATGATCAATTGCCAGGGACAGAGAAAAAATGGGAGAAGTAAGGAGCAAACTGTTTAAAAAATAACACCACCTTATAGTTTAATTCTAAGTATAAAAGTGAGGATTGACAAAATGTTAAATCACTTGCAGTTTCAGCAAATTGTGCCTAGCAGATATTTAATTTTAGCTCAGGTGCTGAAAGTCCAGGCTCCAGGGAAGTCTCATTTCTTTTCACTGATCCCAAAATCTTTTTGGGGGAAGGGGAATGAGGAGTAAGATAAAACCAAAAAAACCAGAACCCAACAGCCTTAAGGAAAAGATAAACAAAATTGTAGCCTGTGTTGCTAATCCAGGAAAACAGCTATAGGGAAAATAATACCACGTGTTGTATTACAAAACCCTGAGCCTTTGGTCCTTAGCCTTTACATCAGTATGAACATCCAATTACACATGTTGAGTTCAACAGCATAAAACCTGTGAGAAACACACTGTATATTGATAACATTTTGCAACACAGTTCCCTCTATCAATATTAGTCCTGAGCATTGGTTTGATTTAATTTACTCCAGCCATAAAGACTGGAGGTTTAAGCTCTACTCAGGTCTCTGTAAAGAAAATTAATAAAGGCTCCTGCAAAGGGCTATTCATCTCACTTGAAGCAATTTCTATGTGATAAAATAGGGGATCTGTTCCCTGGGAAAGGTCTTACCCAGTTCAGATGCCTAACTTTCAGATGATTGACAGGAGTAAGAATAGCAGAAATTTAGAGAGGTAGATCTTTAGCAGGTTTAATACACTTTTTTCAGCTCCTAATAGATCCATATATTGATCTGAATATTCACTTGGTTCTACAGTTATTTAGCCAAACCTTTGTCACTGTACAAATCTCAATGGCATGTAGGCGTTACAGCATAAGACACTTCCCTAAAGAGGCTGGAATCTTCAACATTCTTTTCTTAATAATTTTTCATGTAAGTGATTTGACACGATTTTATTATTTCTCTCACACAGTATAGTAAGATTTTTTTTGTAGTATGAACAATATTGCTCGTATTATATCTGTCAGAGATTAAAAAAATGTATATATGGATCTGTGTAATCCACTCAATGGTTTCTCAACCTTAGGTACCCCCAGGGTGCATTACAAATCTGCACGATGCCCTCAGGTGTTGGATTTTGCATTTGGCTCACAGACTTAGCTGCAAGATTTGCAAAAAAAAAAAAAAAAAAAAAAAAAAAATAAAAAAAAAAAAAAAAAAAAAAAAAAAAAGCCATGTATGAAGAGAACTCTTATTGGTTACACATTTACACATATTACAAGCTCAACAGCATAAATTCATCCTTCCAAGGTATCTTATGCGCACTGAATTGGCTCAGGTTCTGAATGTTTTGGATGAAAGCATATGACTAACTTGAGCTTTTTGTTAAAAAAAAAGCAAAACAAAACCCATTTTTGGCTATGCACCTTTTTGGCAAACATGAAGCACCTCACTGCAAACATAAAGGACATGTAAATACAAAGATCTTCATTTTAGGGGGAATGTTAAAATTTCCTCATATACATCTCAAACACTAGATATCCTCAATCTTCTGAACACTAAAATGCTATGGGCATCTAGAATCCAGGAATATGGGATGGTAAGCATATGCTGTAGTTGAATAAAATATGGCTACTGTGATATTTCTATTTATGAATAAAGGATAACATGAATGTCATAATAAAGGTCAGAAACACAGTAGTATCAGTGTACCTCTGGAAATAATGCCCATTTAACACATAACAGAGGTGGATGCAGTGTCAAAAATATGCATAGTTTCTAAGGAAATACAGTTACTTAGTTCATATTTATGAATGGCATTTCTTCAGCCTTAATCATGTAATTTGTCTGAATATTGTCAAGATTTGACTAGCCTCAAGTTAAGGGAAAACGTGACAAGTGACAATATGGTAAATTCGTTGCTCACTGAATACAGTCTTTTTCTAGTAACGTAACATTACATGTCTCACACTGTGGGCTGGCATAACATTTATTCAACATGTTGGTTTTTCAACACAACCGGCTAAGAGAGTCAAACTGAGATGTCATCAGACCACGGTCAAAACCAGTGTGGGAGCACTGCTGCCCTCTGCCACCTGCATCTCTGCTCTGGGGAGTGAGAGCACGAGGATCCCACCTAACAGAACCACCACAGTTTACAGCAGTAAATCAAAAGCTGCTGCATCCAAGCTGGGACAGGAAGCCCACAGATCTTCCTGGGAGCACATTGTTCATGCTAGAAAATTTCTCCTCTATGAAAGACTGATGCATTAGCTCATCCTTATTTTACCTTTTTCTGTACATGAGCTGTCACCCATCCAAATTTTCTCTATAGGTCCCATAATTTTTTAAAAATACCTAAGATTCAACTCAGTAAAATCATTCCTGACACCATTCTGATTACAGCAAGTTGACAAACATAGTTGACACTTATTTCCTAGGAAATTCAAATTGCTCTCCATTCTCCAGGGAAAGAATTTTCAGCTCTTGCTTTTGGTCCTTTAAACTGCTGGTTTTGAGCTTTAATTGTAATCTATTAGTTTGCAGGAACCAGTTTAAAGTTCTAGCACATAACAGAAATACCTCCTCTTTTCTACCTTTCAGTACTTAAAATGAAAAATTTAAATAAAACCAGAAAAAAATTCACAAGTGGCAGCTTTTTCAAATACATATGATTTGCTAAGGATTTGATAATGGAAAACATGAATTCTAGTAGTATGAAAAGAATGTTTTTATGCCTTTGTAACATTCATGTCATGCCAATTTCACCTTTGTCTTTAAAAGTTCCTATTTCTCTCTTATCCTTGTGTGCATTCATACATAGACTCATATGTAGGTTATCACTGATTTGTCAAGCTGTACTTTGTCAAGTGATAAACCTATAATTTAGCTTCTCTATTACTCATCTCTTAAATTCAACATCTAATAGTTTTGTTGCTATTTATCAATGGCCTGCTTGTTGTCATGGAACACTGATTCAGCTGTCAAGGTTATTTGGTAATCCAAGGCTCATAAAACAGGAGAAGCTGTTTTTGTTATGAGCCCAAAGCCAATGCATAGTTGTTGTTTTTTTTTTTTTCCCAGTTTAACTTAAATTGCTTAAAGTGCTTAAATTTTATGGATAAAAAATCAAATTTGTATTATCTACAATGAGCTAAGTTTTTTGTAGTCAATGATTCAGTTACCAAAATCTGTCTTGTGTCAATTATCATATTGTGAGCCAAAAGGTTAAAATCTATTACATTTAGGACCTGGCTGCATATAATGAAAAAAAACCCAAGACGAATTTTCATAGATATTTCATATCTAAATATATTCTGGGAGAAGGTCATTCTTTCCTTTCTTTTCAGATCACATCTTGCAGACACAGGTAGTATACAGGCAGCATTGCCCATTGGATCCCCATCACAAAAAAAAAAAGTCTCAGAAGAAAGAGAGATGTTTTAAGCAGTCCCAACACAAAAAAGTTTTCTTAAAAACTGACCTTGTTTGGTTGTTGTTTGTTTTTTGTTTTTTGGGTTTTTTTGGGAGGGGGATTTTTTTTGTAGTTAGTTTGTTTTGTTGATTTTTTGTTTGTTTGGAGTTTTTGGGAATTTTTGTTTTGCTTTGTTTGTTGGTTTTTTTCTATTTCGTTCATCTAAGTGATGTGATTGTCAAGCCTTCAACCTGACCTTTAACTATTTTGTAGCTAGCAAGGATTTGTTGTAGTTAATTTGCTGGCAAGACACCCAGACTTCTGAGGATTTTTTTCGCATTCACAGTAGACTGCAGATCGGCAAAGCATGAAAACAGAGAAAAGAATTGCCATAGTTGGTAAAACTAGGGGTACATTCAGCCTGAAAAGTGGCGTTTAATAATATTTGTAATGTATGCCATGTAAAATAGTGAGACCAGAACACACCACAACTCATGTACACTTATAAGATTCAAGAGAGAAAATAAATGCCTTTGAATATCAAGCCACATTTATTTTCTACTATGTAAGGATCCCATATCTTATGTGAGTTTGTGCAAGATAACTTAGTGTAATTTTTTAGTTGTGAAGAAAATAATTTTAAAGTCATAACATGAATTGGGTTTTGACTGTTTGCCTAACTATTGAATTACAATTATAGGAGACAGCATCTTCTGATGTGCAGAAGCATTTAACCTCACACTAGGATTTATACAGAGAAGTTAAGTCTAGCTACTCCTTAATCATATTCTGGTTAAAGATATTGCCAGATGCTTTAGACTTTGGTTAGTTTATTTTCCCCAAACCTTCAGATGCTCTAAGGCAATGTAGTCAAATACTATATTTTCCTTATACAAGGGAAGAGTTGGTATTTGAAAATGCAGGGACACTTGCCACTCAAAAATGAGGCAGTAACATACAAGTGCCTGTTACGGTTGGACTTGCTTCTAATCTTAAGAATCAGAAGTATCTAAGAGGAAGTTAATTTTGAACATCTCCCCATTTTAGTCTCTCTTTTATATTATTTTGTTCTCTAAACCACAGATGAACTAGATTCTGTCTAATTCTTTAGCACAAGGGCTTCCTAGGGTTTAGGCTACAGCAGTGAAAATATCTGATCACCTAAAATCACAGAAAAATTTTGAGTTCCTCATAAACGGATGGTGATTAAGAGAATTTACTAGCACTGGACACAGGGATGATCTGCTCCTAGGATGGATCACATGTCAGTTCAAATTACGTTGCTGATATAATTTGCATCAACCATCAATAACAAAGGTTTATAAAAGGATCTGTAATGTCAAAGTTCAAAAAAGAGTGCTGGTAATCTCATCACTGCAATTGAAAACACAAACAGGTGCTGCTAATTACAGTAACTTCAGAAGGACAACAGAGGTTGGGAAGGAAGGGAAGTGTTACTATGACTCAGTGGTTTGTCTTCAGGTTAAAACAGATTTATATTCCATTTTTTAAATTAACTCTCATTGTTTGTGAAGAGTGTATGTAAATCTTGTAGCTCAGTGA